GAACTCCCTGGAACAAGTGGCACAAAGCACTTCTCTGCGTCGATGAATACCACGCCAAGGGCATGCCAGTGATGCCAATGGCACTAGAATATAGATCACACAGTACACTACATACCGCACCACATACCAAATTGCACCACGGACTGTAATATTTATAAAATGCGCACAAATACAAAAAAGCAGATATAGACACGTAAATACTAACACAAAAATACGTATCCAAAATAACTACCGAAAATTATTTTAAAAGTTAAACTGAGAATTAAAAAAAACTATACAAAAAACTTTAAACTTAGAATAGCAAAATAGACTAAACTGTTAAAACCTGAGAATCTTAAAAACATTAAAAAACGTTCAGTATAAAACTAAGGATAAGTTAAATTAACAAATATTTACACTAACCCACGCATACATGAACACTTTAACTTTAAAAGGGGGTCACCTTGTGCCGTAAGGTCGAATACGACCTCTGGTGACATCCACGACCAGACTGCCATCCACACTTGTCTCTGGCTGCCTCTCAGCGGGGTTAGTGCAAGGCCAGTGGTGTTCTAGATGTTGTCCATCCACCTTCTCTCGAGGTCGACCTCTGCCCTTGCTACCTTCTCCATTCCGAAGCAAGACCCATTCCTCTAGTCCAGAGGTCCTCATAACGTGTCCAAAGTATGTCAATATCTGATTCACGAATAAGGCCTCGAGTAGGAGATTGAGACCATTCTCTCTTAGGATGAACATGTTTGATATTTTGGCTGTCCATGGTATACGTAGCATTCTTCTCCAGCACCACATCTCAAATGCACTTTTGCTCACTCAATCTCGGTGTCCATGGCTCACATCCATATAGGGCAACAGGAAATACCAGAGCTTTGACAAGCCTCTTCTTGTTGTTTATGGTAATGCCCTTGTCTCTCCATATCTTATTAAACTGTGGCATAGCTGTTCTACCGAGAACTAGCTGCTTTCTGATCTCGTAGCTACACTCCCCGTCTTCAGCAGTCAAGGAGCCCAGGAATACATTTTTCACAACTTTGATTGGTTCGTGGGCAGGGCTAGAGATGGAATTTGCATGTAAATGTAAGATCCAAGAGCCTGATATTCCTCACGACTATGGTGTTGAAGAGGCGGCCATTGTATTGCTACAGATTAGCATGTCAATCTGTAATTTGCATATACATGTAAGATCGGAGAGCCTGATATACCTCACAACGACGGTGCTAGAGATTAGCATGTCAATCGGTTAATGTAACCCCACGACTTCGGTGCTGAAGAGGCGGCCATTGTATTGCTAAAGATTACAGATTAGCATGTCAAAGTGAGACAGCTTCCGCAAGCAGCAGCTGTATTAATGAGAAGATTGGCATGGGACGTCTTTTTGATTTACTTGGACGACTTCATCATTTTTGGACGGTCTTTTGAGGAACATTTTCAGCGGTTGGCACTGTTTTTTTCAAGCATTCAGGGGGCAAGCCTGAAGCTTAAACTGTCCAAGTACCACCTAGCGCAGTCCTCTGCCAAATATTTGGGGCACGTCAGCATGGTAGGTGTGGCCACAAACACCGGCAAAACTCACTGTGTTCACGTTTGACCCACACCCGTCTCAGTATCGGATGTTCGGAGGTTTGTTTGATTTGTGTCATACTCTCGCCGTTTTGTACTGGATTTTTCCGCCATTGCGAAGCCATTCCATGCACTTACTGCCAAGGGTCAGTTTGACTGTGGTCCTGAGGAGAATTTGGCCTTTAGGAATTTGCGAGGGTTTCTTATGGATACTCCAGCACTGGCTTAGCCTGATATGGGGTTTGGGGGCATGTTATCGCAGGCCCAGTTTGACCGGAAAGTCGTGATCGCCTATGGCATTTGGGTGCTGTCGCTGGCTGAACAGCGGTACTCCGTCATGCGCCGGGAACTCCTAGCAGTTGTACATTTCGTCGGCCGGTTCCGCCCTTATACGGCCAACGATTTGTGGAGAGGACCGACCATGCGGCGCTGCAGTTTTCATTAGGCAATCAACATCCTTCCGGTCAGATGGACAGATGGATTGAGTGCCTGCAGGAAATCTTTTATGACGTGGTCCACAGGAAAGGGATGTGCTACGCCAACGCAGATGCCTTGTCGGGCCTGCCAGCTAGGACAGCTTGCACTTGCTCTGGGGGTCTGGTAGATGCAGGCCGGCTCCGAATGAGACGCCGAGCCTTGTAACGCCGATCGACACGCATGCAGGCTCCTCCAAGGCTACGTTGCTGGACTGTGATATAGGGCTTAGCCGGGAGGATTTGGTTGCAGTTACAAATGGAAGCGGCACGTTAGCGTCGTTTCGTGCCCTGGTTCACTCTCGCCCCGCAAGTCAAATTCTTGCTGCGGCGTCATTTGCGAATGTTGATGGACTGCTTATGCGATGGGAACTCGACACCCAGCATCACTGGCTGGTTGTTCCTATATACGTACGGGAATGGCTGGTGGCGGAGGTTCATTGTCGCCATCTACTGCACTTGGGTGAATGCAAGACGCTCGCCACGCTTAGAAGTCACTACTTCTGGCCAGGCATGTCAGCAGATGTACGCACGTAGATAGCTGCTTGTGCTGAATGTGCTCGCCTTGTGACTGTGCCATTGCAATCTATCGCTGTCTCTCAGGTGAATGAGCTGGTGGCTATTGACATTTTAGGACCCTTTCCTCCTACTGCTTGGTGTCACAAATTTTTGCTCGTGGGTGTTGGGTATTTCACCCGTTGGCCTCTGGCATGGCCCCTCACCGATCGGACGACTCTGTCTATTGTGGTGGTTTTCCTGGAGAAGGGTGCCTTGGAGAAATTGCTCACGGATCAGGGCCGCAATTTTTTGTCGAAACCGGTCCAGGAGATGTGTGACATTTTGGGTATGAAGAAGTTGCTCACATCACCGTACCACCCACAGACTGATGGAATGGTGGAACGCCTGAACTGCACCATAACTGCTATCCTGTGCCAAGTCGTCGATAAGTCAGACCGACTTGTACCTGCACATTGGGGGGGTTCTCACAGCGTACCGGTTAGCACCCCATACCTCCACAGGATACTCCCCCTTTTTCCTAATGTATGGGCTGGACCCGGATCCCTCCCATTGACTATCAGCTGGTTGACCTCCCGAGGGGGCAACTAAGTGGCTGACAATGATACGCCGTTCAATGCAGCAGTGGCAGTCGGCAAGGGAGGCGGTGCAAGTGGCGGTGGCGTCCGCTCGCTTTGTGAACGAACGGATTAGATAGAAGGTCGTTACTACTTTTCCTTTTGCAGTAGGGGACAATGGCTTGGTTGCATTACCCGCAGGTTTTCTTGCGGACATGGTAGGGGCCTGTTAAAGTTGTTGAAGCTCTTCAGCCCCAGTCTATACGTGTCCAATTGGGCTAATGCCAGTGGTATGTACACCCTGCGCGGCTGAAGCCTGACGTGTTGAGACCCATCATTGAGATGCCACTGCTGGCCGACGCACCACCACACGCACCGCCACCACTCACACCTACAGATTCACCCCTATCCACTCCATCACCTCCACTGTCACTGGCATGGTCAGGGGGACAGCCAGCCACGACGGGACCCCACTAAAGGCTGATGCATTCCTCCCCCAGGGCCGCATGTGACAGGAGAGCCTCGGACGCTGCTGTTGGCACCTATCACTTGTGCACAAGTCCAGAACATGCTCCTGCGGTGATGGGGGGGGGGGGCGACGATGTGGCATGACGAAGAGACCTGGGGGGATTGCTCGGGATGATTCTCCTTAGGGTTCCCCAAGGCTGATGCATTGACGGAGATATGGTTGCTGTTGACATCCTGTACAGGTTGTCGTCCGTGCGTTGTGTCACCCTGGCTGTTTTGTGTGTTTTTGTTCCCCCCTCCTTCGCCGGGGTTACACTGTGGGTCTTGATGCCTGCAAGATTGTCAATAATTTTTTTATATAAAATATTTGTGATTGTCTATGCTTATGTTGTTCGCCCTTTCCCCAGTTGTTGTGTTACACAAGCGCGGGTTGTCATTTGGGGGGGGTGTGCTACGGGTGTGCGTCCGCATGCTGAGATGAGACGCACACGGACATTCGAGGGCGATGCGTTCATGGATGACTTGTGCTGGCACATTCTTTATTTGGGCAAATGGTGCGGTGTATCTGGACATTGGGCTTGTCCCGGCGCCACGCAGCGGGTTTGTTCCGTCGAGGACAACTTTTTTTTTTCAGGGTGGTGGGGTGATGTAGGATACTCAGGGCTGCTATAATTCGGAAGAGAGAAGCAGTACATAGTTGTCAGCAGAGTCTCGCAGCTCTTTTATTGGAGAACGAGCCGCTGGCCGCATGGTGTGCGCTGCGATAATTCGGGAAGAGAGAAGAAGTACATAGCTGTCAGCAGAGTCTCGCAGCTCTCCCATTGGAGAATGAGCCGCTGGCCGCATGGCGCGCTCTAGGAAAGGTCCTTACAGGGGACATGATTGGAGGAGGAGAGAGCAGGAAGAAAGAGGCCGGGCGAAGAAAATAGCGGGAGTCGCGGGGAGAGAAAGCATGGAGATGGCTGCATGAAGTGAAGCTGAAGAGAAAAATAAAAAGGGTTAATACTTACCTGTCTCCCTCGTTGATTTCATTACAAATGTATGATAAATACTGTATTAAAGAGCTTAGCTTTGAGGCTGATCTTCGGCAATTCCACACAGCTGTGTTTGTTGTTGTTGATGTTATACTCACCTGCATATTCACTCACCTGTACACTTACCTGTACATTCACCTGTACTTTCACTTGCCTGTAGACTATCTCAATTGTATGCTTGCTTGTACCATGACCTGTACACTCACCTGTACACTTATGAAGTTTCTTGGTCTAACTCCAGAAGAAAGAGATGAATCTGGGTCTGTTTTCTGAAGTGCGTTGAGATTCTTTGACTGAGTTTCAAAAGATGTTTTTTTTCTAGCCACATGCCATCTTTTGATAGCACAGTTGTAATTTAATTTGTGATCAAACCTTTCCATATTTCCTCTGCACAGATGGATCCGCCATGGGTGCAGTCATCCTTTGAAGGTATCGGTGGAGACCTGTCAAAGGCCAGTGGTTGTAGAAATACAATCTCAAGCCTTAGACCACACATACCAGTTGCAAGCAAAGTGAAGTCCCGACGTGGTGCTGCTGCTGCTGCTTCTTGTGCTTCTATGGCCAAAACTGGGTGGCGACAGGACTACAACAGAGATAGTGCAGAGAGCTGGGTGGAGCGGCATGCGCCAACAACAACGGTGAGGCCCCCCCAGTGGTAGGCTGGACCACACTTGTGACCACTCTTCCAGGACTCCTACTTCTAAAGGCTATTGCTTGAGGTCCCTCTTGACCTTCATTGTTGAAATAAATTTGTTCATGCAGCCCCGAATGGGGTGACGCCCGCTTCACTAGGCTATGCCCAACAACCTAGGCCATACTGCTGAGACACGACTTGTACCTTGCAGTAAGTTTTGCGTATCAAGTATGTTTTAAGTTTTGTGTATTGGTAGTGTAGCGGATAACACTTTGCACTACTAAACTGGCAACCCGAATTCGATTCCTGCTCATGGCCAACATCAGTGAGGGGATTATCTGAACCAGTTCTGGGCCTCCTCTCGTTCAACTCAGCCTCAAATAATTATGTGGTGGAGCGTGTAAACATCACCACTTGGGAGACAATGGCAGACGGACGTGGTGCTGGCTACCTTTACCCCCTTGTGCACCGTAACCAGCCTTCATAGGTGCTCGCTAACAACACTTGCCCAAACAGTCTGTTAAGGCATCTCATCCTGCCTGACAGCCATGCAAGCCTGGCTGACAGAAAATCTCCTTTCCCTAAATCTTTCAAAAACCTCCGTGCTTTTATTTCCATCCTCTCGCTCAACCCTTCCTGCACCCTTCATTTCTTTACCCCCCCCCCCATTAGCCTCTTCCCAAACTCTACCACCCTCACTCTCGGTGTTACCTTCGATTCCACTCTCTCCTTCATTTTTAACATTGCCAACACCACTCGCACATGCCGTTACCATCTGTACAACATCAGAAAATTCCGCCCATTCATCACTACCACACTCCCTTGTCTTCACTCGTCTGGATTACTGCAACTCACTCCTGGTCGGTCTCCCTGGTTACGCCTGTATCCCTCTACAACACATCCAAAACGCAGCTGCACGGACTGTACTCAACCTTTCATACACTTCTCACAGCTCTCCTTCAATAAATTAACTGGCTTCCTTTCTGTCACCGCTATCTTTTTAATTTTTCACCCTAGTATTCAAAGCTTTGCATGGTCTTGTCCCGCCCTACCTCTCTTCTCTCATTTCTTTAAATGTCCATTCACGCTCCCTTCGATTTCAATATTCCCGTTTTCTCACTGTTCCATCACCTTCTTGCGCCCAGTCTTGCTTTAGTTCTTTCTCTCTTCTTGCCCCGTTGCACTGGAACAAACTCCTACTCCACATCAGGCTCTCACCCTTGCTTTTTACACCTTTCGCTCGGCCCTCAGGTCCTTTCTGTTCTATATTGCTTTTTCTCTTCCACTGCCTCCACCCCTACCGGTTCCTTCCCCCGCCTCTAACCTCCTCCCAGCCCCCCAGTCCTCTTCTTTCTACGACCCTAATTCCTGACCGGCCCAGATGTCTCGCTTTCTATTTGCACCTAACCACATCTCTTCCCCAGCCCTACACTGTGCTTCTCCATCAGCCCAACTATCCGGCCACTAGACCTCTGCCCCACTACCATCCTTCACCTACCCTCATTCCATGCCTGTTTTACCACTTCACGCATGTGCCCCATACCCCACTATCTCTCATCCAGACACCCTCACCATGACATTCCACCTTATTCTGCCTTACCTATCGCAGTAATAGCAGCTCCATTCCTAGCCCCTGTCCCTCCATCTATTCCATCACCTCCCTCACTGACCGCCGTCAGGGTTGCATTTTAAACCGCCCTGGAAAGGGCGTTATATTAATCCGAAATGGAATAGAATCGAAGGCTATACAGTGGATATTTGTTTTTTGTGTTTTGTGTTGTATGTGTTTTAATGGGGTGTATGTGATGTGTATGTACATATGTTGAAATTTTTTCACACCACATGTAGCCAATTCTGCTAATCAGAAGTGTGGGGGAAGGACAACAAACTAAACATAAAAAGCAGTGAGAGTTTTGTATGTGCAGATTATGTACATGTAAAGTTCATCCAATTAGCATGGTTGGCTATGTACCTGCAAATGATGTTTGACATACATACATTTGTCACTTCGCTGCTGAATGAGGGCTTCCCCACACCATGTGGATTGGTGGGAATGTTTTCATTGGCTAGGTCCCCATTGACTCAAATGGCTGGCAAAACTACACCAAAACCTGAGAATCCGGATCCTTCCTAAAAGCATGGTGGAAGGCAATAGTTATTGCCATATTCAAACTGGGCAAACTGGCCAAAGACCGGGGAAGCTACAGGCTGATGTCTCCCCTATGCACAACCTATAAACTCCTGGAATGTGTCATCCTCTGGAGAATTATCCCTCTCATAGTCAGCGATCCCCAAAGTATGAGTGAGGTTCTGGCCTAAACGCAGTTGCCACAACCTTGCAACGCGCATCGAGGTTGGATTCCATAAGAAATACAAGATTGTATTAGCCTTTGTATAACCGTCTTCAGCTGACAACATGGTCTGGATTCAAGGCCTGATGCTGAAGCTTGTAAGGATCATTCCCTGCATCAAAACACTGCCTGCTATGGACGATGCTGAGGAATAGGGGGGGGGGGGGAGCTACGTGTCCATTTGGGTGACAAACTCACCTGGCCCCATTTCCCCAATAATGGTGTTGCCACAAGATTCAGTACTCGCACAGAGGATCTTCAATGTCTACACAAACAGCATGCCACCATTGAGTAACTACACATTTTCATATGCGGATGACCTTGGCTCAAGCCAAGCCTCCACAAAAACTGTCACTGCATTTCATCTTGATAACAGAAACACTAAGTGCATCCTGAAAGTATTATTTTGTGACAAATCTGTGACATGATCCCACTAAACTCTAAATATGATCTGATCCCACTTGGCAATCTCCCATTTCATTCTCACACTTCATCTCTTCACCGTCAAATTCATTGTCTTGTTTACACTCTATTCTATTTTGGATTTATAAAGCGCCTGTCACCAAGGTGCTTGACAATGCTTACTGACTACGGTACAAAATGGCAAAATAAAGGATGGGGTAGTGACTTGTGGAGGGAGCGAAAGGTGGAGGCTGCGGCTAGGCAGGGGTTAGGGGCGTTAGGTGGTGCTGGTAGGGGTGGCGGAAGAGGAAGGGAAAAGAGAGTTTGTTCCAATGTAAGGGGGCAAGCGGAGAGAAGGAGCGAAAGTGAGATTGTGCACAGGGTGGAGGAGGGACAGCAAAAAGATAGACAGCTTGTGACCAGAGCGGGCATGATGGGATATATAAGGAAATGAGAGAAGAGAGGTAAGGGGTGGGCATTTCACACAAAGCTTTGAAAACTAAGGTGAGCAATTTAAAGAGACAGCGGTGATAGATAGGAAGCCAGTGAAGTTGTTGAATGAGAGAAGCAATGAGAGGTGAATGGAAGGTTAAAGGTGGAACTGCTGAACCAGCTGGTTCAGCAGTTCCACTGCTGGATTATTTTTTCCGCCTGAGGACGACCGCTTGTGTTGCGATCGAAACGTCATGATCTTTTATTTTTATACCTACGTGACTTTACCGAAAGAACTAAATAGTATGTGTCATTCATGCTTGGATGACCATTAGGTAGGATGAGATGTGGTCGGAAAGGTCGGGAGTAAGAGCCTTGAAGGAAAAGAAGATTTGAGTGTCGTCTGTGAATAGGTGATATAAGATATAGAAAAAATGGATGCGAGGGGGGATGTGTAAAGGGAGAATAGGAGAGGACCAAGTACAGAACCCTGGGGGATACCAACTGTGACGGGGGAGTGGGAGAAAAAAACATGCTCTTTGGTTTTATTCGGTAAAGTCACGTAGATAAAAATAAAAGAAACAATTAAATCACGACGTTTTGGAGGCAACACAAGCTTCCTTCTTGAGGTGGAATAGTCAACGCAGAATATCTGTGTCAGGGACACAGTTCAGAGACGACCGGGATTATATACAGGTTAAGGGGGGGGGGGGGAGGAGTCAGTAAGGGGGCGTGGGTGGGTGGGAGGGCTGGGTTAAGCAGCCCTTTGATAGACTGCTGGGGCAACAACTACTTCGCACTGCACAAGAGTGGGTAAAACCCACCTTTTGTTATGCTGCGTGGGGGGTCGGGGGGAGGGAGAGACATGTTGCATGTGTACATCTCCATTTTTTGAAAGCAGTGGCAAACGGCTGTTTAATTATAAGGTAGTTAAAGTTTGCTATACAACTACTAAGAAAAGGAAATGGCTGTACCAAAAAATTGAAAGGCATCTAACGTTTGACTTGATTTAAAACATCTTTCCAGTGATTGCTCAATTTGAAACCATCCTATCGGTTGAAGTCGTGTCTGTGTTTGTAAATCTGGATGGCCTCGTGGACAAATCTCTCATAATAACCGGTAGGTTTGCAGAGAACCTTGGTATCGGAGAAAACAATATCATGATCACCCAAAGCGTTGTAACAATGATCAGCCACGGCAGAAGAATTAGTTCTGCCGTGTTTAAAATCTGATTTGTGCTCGCGAATTCGGTCAGAGATATGTCGCTTCGTCTCCCCGATATCGCAGTCCGGGGTACTGTAAGTAAGGAATTTACTGACGGGATCCTTTACTGACGGGATCAGATCACGGATTTTGTGCACTGTGTTGAACCGGACCTGGATCTTGTGTTTGTTTAGAATTTTGGAAATCTTTTTAGTAACGCCTGCTATGTATGGTAACGTGATGATTTTGATCGGAATGTCAGGTGGTTGTTTCTGTATGGTGGGAGAAACAGCTTGGCGGATGGTATGGTCAGAATAACCGTTCATCTTGAGGGCCAGATGTATATGTTTTAATTCACTGGTCAGGTGGTGTTCGTCAGAAATGCAATGAGCCCTATGGATTAACGTTTTGATGAGAGAGTTCTTCTGAGTCGGGTGGTGGTGGGAATCAGGTTTCAAGTAGGAGTCTGTGTGGGTGGGCTTCCTGTAAACAGAATGTTCCAAAGAGCCATCAGGCCTTCTCTCAAACAGGACATCCAAGAATGGTAGCTTGCCATCTTTCTCCACTTCCATGGTGAATTTGATGGAAGGGTGTCTGGAATTGATGTGGTCTAGGA